TAATAATAATAATAATAATAATAATAATAATAATAATAATAATAATAAAAGATGGGAGCACTTGGTTCAACAATACTGCAAAGGGGAGGGATCTTGGGGTTGCAGATCACAAGCTACGTATGAGCCATCCATGTGATGTAGCTGCAAAAAAGGCAAATGTCATCTTGGGCTGCATTAACAGAAGTATCACTTCCAAAACACGTGAAGTACTAGTTCCCCAATACTCAGCACTAGTCCGACTTCACCTGGAGTGCTGTGTCCAGTTTTAAAAAGATGCAGAAATGCCAGAAAGGGTACGGAGGAGGGCAACACGGATGATTCAGGGACTGGAGGAAAAGCCTCTGAGGAAAGATGGGGAGAACTGGGCATATTCAGCTTCAGGAAGAGAAGATTGGGGAGAGAGAGGAGAGCACTCAACAAGCAGCTGAAAGGCTGCCACAAAGAGGAAGGATGGGATCTCTTCTTGATCATTTCATGGTTCAGGACATGGAATAAGGAGCTCAAGTTAAAGGAAACCAGATTTAGACTAGACAACAGGAAGAATTTCCTGACTGTCAGAGCAATACGACAATGGAACCTATTACCTGGGGAAGTTGTGGGCTCTCGCTGGAGACCTTAATTCAAACAGTCACCTGAAAGGAATGGTGCAACTTAGCATTCTGCAGCAGCAGGGGGTTGAACCTGGTGGCCTTCTGGCCCCTTCCAACTTTAGCATTCCATGATTCTATGAAATAAGTTGTATTCATGTACACCTTGGGTATTTAAGCCAGTCTGTTGGGTTCTGTGATGTTTTCATTATAGCTGTGTTTTTAATGTATTTGTTTTATGATGGCTTTCAAGTTTTAAAGTTCTTAAAGTTATAAGCTTACTTGATGGCTGTTTTCTTGGTAGAAAGCCAGCTCCAAATCCAAGAAATACATAAAAAAGAGAAGATTAATTCTTAGGGGAGTGTGAGGGAAGAAAATGGTGGGTGTGGAAGGGAAGAGACTGAGTGAAAACCAGGGAAGAGAACAACACTGACCTCTCCCCATTTCCAACCAGCCATGATATAAAGAACATCAGTTCCTGGGGCCTACAGTCACTCCAATGGTGCAGTCCTGAACTGGACTGCACCACTGGAGGCCATCACGGTCCTATCCTTTCCATGTGGACAGTATGGCTTGCCAGTTGGGTTGCATAACTGTAGAATTCATGTGTTCGTTTTAGGGAAGAGACAAATCTGGGACTTAGACCACCACTCTACTAGGGACAGCCAACCAGCCAGCTCAAAAGAAGTAGTGCCAGATGGATTCCACCTTGATAAACATCTGTTAATGATCTGCCCATAAAAACAGCATTTAAATGGCCACTCTTTAAACAGTGCAAAGAAGAAATGCAGCTTCCAATCAGGCAATATTATTCTTTTTATTTCTTTATTCAATTGACATGCTACAATTAGAATACAGTAAAATCCATAACAGTAGAAGTATAAAAGTATAAATAGGTCTAAAATCACAAATACTAAGACGGACCAATAATTTAAAAACTAACAAAGGCAGGTCTCATAACATGGGCTCAAGGTCACCTACTGAGCTTCCAGGCCAAGAGGGGCTGGAACGCTGTCCCAGGCCACCTTCTGGGGACCCTGCTCCATGCAATCCCCCGGTCATCCCCAGAAGCAACCAGGCTGTTCCCCGGGCATCAGCGAGCGAAAAGGGGATCTCCAGCTGCAGACTGGAGATAGCCTGCGTGTTGTCTGGGGACTGCGGAGAGGGGCCTTTGGGAGAGGCACGGGCCCTGGGAGCACCCCAGGGTCGCTGGACTCAGCTCCTCAGCTGACCTGGAGAGGGGAAATGTTTGGGAAGGGACTGGCAGGGCTGCCGAAGAGGAAGAGGAAGAGCCGCTGCCTTGCCCAGTCCCTGCCCAGGGCTTGTGCTGGTCCCAGGTCTCCATCCTCCTCGTCCATGGCTTCTCCTCAGTCCGGATCCAGCACAGCTCACTTCTCCCGGGTACCGTGTCCTGTCTCCCGCTTGAAGGACAGCAGGAGCTGAAAGAAAAAGAAGGCACACCTGATCGTAAAACATGTGGTTCACAAACACAGGTTAGTCCTTTTTACATGTTTATTAAATGACAGGACAATCCTTCTGACCAGAGTCTGGAAGGCCATAGGGATGGATGGGGCCCAGGCGGGACACTGGGAAGCAACTCCCAAGTCAGAGCTGAGGCGCACGCCTTGGAGGACCCCAACAAGACCAACAGCACAACTCCACAGAACGGCTTTTGGGTGACGGGAGGGGGCAAAGGAGGAAACCAGCTCCGGCGAGGTGTGCTGTGTCCTGCTCATTCCTACCCCACCAAACCCCCACCGTCACACCGAAATCGGCCATCTTGCTGCTCTGCATAGTGGGTGGACTGCAGAGACAACCTTCACCTCCGCATCCCCCCTGCTTTTACTGGTTTCCCATAACCCTTGGAGGTCAAAGGGTTTCTGGAGTCCCAAAAGGACCATGCGCCACCACGGTTTTCATGCTGCCTTGAGCTCTGCTTCCAGGGGACCCCAGATGGCGAACAACAGTCCGTACACATAATAAAACACAATATAAACACAATATAAAATACAAGCAACTGCCAAATACATCATGCAATAGCACAAAGGGCACAGGGCTTGGTCCCCTCCCTCCAAGCTCCTCGCTTTCGCTCCGCCCTGCAAGCTGGCCAGCCACGCACCCTCAAAGTCAAGGGGACGGATCCATCTGCACTGCCCCGACTGACTTCTGAGTAGACCTACCTTCCTGCTACTGTGTGTTGCGCCTGAGTCCCGCGTCAGCAGCGGAGAATCAGCAAGATGGTGAGGTATATTTGCTGTCTGATGAAAAGAGGCAGGCAAAGGGGGGCAGGGGGTCTTGCTTCCGCAAGAGCCGCAGACCGTTCACTCGCGTGTGCCTGCGCCAGGTAAGGAGCACCCGCTGAACACCTGCCAATGTGTGGCAAGGCTGGGGCCTTGTCAGGTGTTGGGAAAATTCAGACAAATCCTGGCAGAAAAACCTTGCTCATCGGTGCCTTTGCGTTGTAACATCAAAGCTGCACCTCTTTCTCACAAGGCACCAGCAGGTCACGGTCGCTGCCTTGAGAAGATGGCCTCCTTAGCGAGCCTGAGCAGCTGCTGGAGCTGAGACGATGGCGCCCCTTGCTTCTGAATGGGCCCACCTAAGCAGAGGCAAGCTCCTGCCGCGTGTGCTTGCCAACCCGGATTCTTCCCGCAGGCACATTTGCACTTGTGAACATGCACTGTACTGTCAAGAATTTGCTAGACTGACCTATCAGTACAGTGCACTCAGAAAAGCAGCGCTTACCATCCCAACCCACTGCCCTGCCACAAACACCTCAAAAGAGGCCTCGGCGTCTGGTGGTGGAGGCCAGGTGACCCCACTCCGTGAGTGGGTAACTGTCAAAGTGCAATCCCTGTGCTTTACAGGCTTGCTAAAGTGCCTCCCTAACCCAGTGAGTTCACACATGCAACCTTTCTGTTCATGTAACTTGGCCAGCCTGTTCAAGGAGAAAGGAGGCAGGGACTTTGTGCGTGAGTAGGGAAGAAGAGGCTGTGGAAACTGCTCCCCCAGGGCACTGCCTTTGGGGTGAGCGCCCGGTCTGGCCAGAACATATTAAACTGTCCCTGCTTGGTACTTTGCCTCCCGCATCGTCATTGCTTGGATTCCATTCCTTACAAAACGTAACTTTTCTTCATGGTGTATCCAATGACTTTCCTATCCATATCAAAGCATCCAATCACCTTCCCGTGTATTGTATTCACTCCCCTTTTGTGCATCTTATGTAACCCTAATGGAAGCAGCATGGGGGATTCCTGCCCTGGGCACCCAGGGATACAGGTGTTTAATTGTGAATATACCCAGTTGCCCTAGCAAGAAACTGACCATATGTGCCTTAATTGTGGATCAGTGTGACAACTGCCACAAATTATTAGCAGATATTTCCAGTCGGTATCACCCCATTCGCCTGCTCCTGTCAAAAGCCTCAAAGTCATAAAAGGATGCATTAATTCAGGCGTGGCGTGGCTAGGCTTTGCTAGGCGTGGCATGGCTTGGCTTGGCTAGGCTTGGCATGGCTTGGCTTGGGTTTAGAGAAAGGTCGGGCAAACTCAACTGCTCCCTCCTGTAATCCTTGTCCCACAGGTGAGCCCCTACTTGGCGCTTTCACAAGCAACCTTTCTCCTGCCCAGCCTCAAAGAGAGCTCAGCATGTGCAGCATCTGGTCCTCAAAATTATACAAAGCATGATGATTTATTTTATCTCTCCTGGCCAAAGCTCGAGGGATTTTTCTCTCCACAGTTCATCTTAGACATAAACAATCGAATCAAAAGGAGCCACAAGGGGACCCGCTGCACCCAAGCCTGGCTGTGTTTCACCACTGAAAGCACTGGAGCAGGTGGGTCTTCCGGGCACAAGGAAAATGCTCTCGCTGCTGCTGCTGCTGTTCCCCATGCAGCCTATGGGACGCTGAGGTCAAGGTGCCCCTTATCTCGGAAGAGGGGTGGCACGTACCCCTGAATCATTACAGGCCTGCAAATCACCTTAGACTTGGAGTCATCCCTGCCGCTGAGGCTGCGCTGCAGCAACACGACTTCACCAGGCCTCCCTCCTTCAGGCGCTTTCCATGGCAAGTCATTTTCTGGTGTAGAATCACAGCAACTTAGTTCTCTGCTCATATCATGAGCTTCAAGGATCTCTCACTAGCAGGGACAGTCCCTGTCCTTTGATACCTGATACATAGTTGTAGTTCTCTTGGGGAAAGACTTGGTGCAATGCATCGAACCTAAGACCCTCTGTTTTATGATCTGCCATTGCTCAGGGAATATTGGAACTGCCAAACAGCACAACATGCAACTGGAGAATAATCTCTTTCTGCCCTCACTGACATACATACAGTATATCACAGAAGTGAGTGAACTCCACGCCCAAGAGGGTTAAGGCAGTGCTGGAAAATGATGGTGGCCACACCACATATTGGCACTTTGGGCCCAATTTGGACAGTTTCACTTAGGGGTGTACTCACTTTTGTTGCCAGCGGTTTAGACATTGATGGCTGTGTGTTGAGTTATTTTGAGGGGACAGCAAATTTACACTGTTATACAAGCTGTATACTCACTACTTTACACTGTAGCACATTGTCATTTCTTCAGTGTTGTCACATGAAAAGATACAACAAAATATTTGCAAAATTTGAGGGGAGTACTCACTTCTGTGATATACTGTAGAACAAACCTCCACGTTTCCTTAAAACTCCGTGGACAGAGGCAGAAGGGCTGTGGCTAAGATGTTGCTCTCCCCCTTGGCAATGGACCAGGCCCCCACTCACCCCAAAACCCTCGGCCCACAGATGGGCTACTAGATTAATCTCCACTCAGCCACAAAGCACCCCGGGTGACCTGGGGATGGCCAATCACGCAGCCTAGCCTACCTCACAGGGTTGCTGTGTAAAGATAAAAAGGGAAAAGTGGTTCCTCGGAAGGGGAGGAAGGCAGGATATAAATGTCATTCGAGGAAGGGAAGGGGAAAGGGAAGGGGAAGTTCGTTAATGCTACCGATCACTCTGCTCTTCTGTGACAAAGGAGAACCAAATCCACTGTGGGGTCCACAGTCCTGTCAAAGAAAAAAGAATCTGCTCCCTTTGGATTAGTGTCAAAACTTCTAAATTGCATTTGTTGATTCGTACGAAATTCTGTATTCTTCTTGCAAGGAATCCTAAGATCTTGCAGATAAAATAATTCAGGGCAGGGCAGAGAGGTCGCGAAAACAGGGGTGGGAGAGGATACGCTGCACAGACAGGAGAAAAGGGTGGCCTGGGCAAGCATCCTCCGCATGCAAAAGACTTTCAGGGGCACTTCATTCCTGTACTCTTCACTCTCCAACAGACTTATTCTCATTACATTGCATTTATCTCCCACCTTTTTTCCTCCTGTGAAGGACCCAAGGCGGCTTACCTTGCTTTTAGGTACATTAAGATCTCCTTTTCCCTTGAAACTCTTTCCACACTCAAGACATTCATACGGTTTCTCCCCTGTGTGAATACTTTGATGAGTAGTCAATACAGCCTTCGATCGAAATGTCTTTCCACACTCATGACATTCAAAATGTTTCTCCCCCGTGTGAATTCTCTGATGGTGAGCGAGATGTGTGCGCTGAGTGAAGCTCTTGCCACACTCCAAGCATTTATAGGGTTTCTCTCCTGTGTGGACTCTTTGATGATTAGTCAATTTTGCCTTGAATCGGAAGGTCTTTCCACACTCCTGGCACTCAAAGGGTTTCTCCCCCGTGTGAATTGTATGATGGCAAGCAAGGCCTGAGTTCTGACTGAAGCACTTGCCACACTCCATACACTTGAATAGTTTCTCCTCTGTGTGGATCCTTTTATGAACATCAAGGGCTCCTTTTGTCCTGAAGCTCTTTACACAGTCAAGACATTCATATGGTTTCTCCCCCGTGTGAATTCTCCGATGGCAAGCGAGACTTGGGTACTGAGCGAAGCTCTTGCCACACTCCAAGCATTTATAGAATTTCTCTCCTGTGTGGACTCGTTGATGAGCAGTCAATCCGCCCTTCGATCGAAAGGTCTTTCCACACTCAAGACATTCATATGGTTTCTCTCCCGTGTGAATTCTCTGATGGCAAGCGAGACTTGGATACTGAGTGAAGCTCTTGCCACACTCTAAGCATTTATAGGGTTTCTCTCCTGTGTGGACTCTTTGATGAGCAGTCAATCCACCCTTCAATCGAAAGGTCTTTCCACACTCAAGACATTCATATGGTTTCTCCCCCGTGTGAATTCTCCAATGGCGAGTGAGATGTGAGCGTTGAGTAAAGCTCTTGCCACACTCCAAGCATTTATAGGGTTTCTCTCCTGTGTGAATTATATGATGGTAAGCAAGGCTTGAGCTCCGACTGAAGCACCTGCCACACTCCATACACTTGAATGGTTTCTCCCCTGTGTGAATCCTTCTATGAAGATCAAGGGCTTCTTTTGTCCCGAAGCTCTTTCCACAGTCAAGACATTCATATGGTTTCTCCCCCGTGTGAATTCTCCGATGGCGAGCAAGACTTGGGTACTGAGTGAAGCTCTTGCCACACTCCAAGCATTTATAGGGTTTCTCCCCTGTGTGAATTATATGATGGTAAGCAAGGCTTGAGCTCCGACTGAAGCACCTGCCACACTCCATACACTTGAATGGTTTCTCCCCTGTGTGGGTTCGTTCATGAGTGGTGAGTTGCCATTTCCCACTGAACCCCTTTCCACACCCTGAGCATTTAAATGGTTTCTCCTCTGTGTGGATCCTTTTATGAACATCAAGGACTTCTTTGGTCCCAAAGCTCTTTCCACAGTCAAGACATTCATATGTTTTCTCCGCTGTGTGAATTCTCCGATGGCGAGCGAGATTTGGGTATTGAGTGAAGCTCTTGCCACACTCCTGGCATTCAAACGGTTTCTCCCCTGTGTGAATTCTCCTATGGAGAGCGAGATGTGGGTACTGAGTGAAGCTCTTGCCACACTCCTGGCATTCAAACGGTTTCTCCCCCGTGTGACTTCTCCGATGGCGAGCAATATTTGAACACTGAGTGAAGCTCTTGCCACACTCCAAGCATTTATAGGGTTTCTCTCCTGTGTGGACTCTTTGATGAGCAGTAAATCCACCCTTCAATTGAAAGGTCTTTCCACACTCCGGGCACTCAAAGGGTTTCTCCCCCTTGTGAATCTGTTCATGTAAATCAAGGGCTCTTCTTCCACTGAACCCCTTTCCACACTCAAGGCACTCACAAGGTTTCTCCTCTGTGGGCAGTCCTTGCTGTAAAGAGAGACCGTTAAGACGGCTGAACATTCTCCACACCTGCAGGCATTCAAAGGGTACCTCCCTTGTGTGAATTTTCCAATGTTCCCCAATGCAGATTTGTGAGCAAAGCTTTCCCCACAAGAGGGGCACTTTAGCCTTCCTGGTGACTTCAGTGATTCCTCCCCAGCTGGCATTTCTGGGACATCCCTGCCAG